GTTTCGGCCTCCCCCGTGTCCCAGCCACTCCGCGGCTCTCTGGCTTCTCCATGTCACGTGAGGGCCTGGGCTCAGAATACCTGCCTGCTTCCCCACCTGGCAGGGGCTGACTCGATCTCGGAGAGGGCCAGGAAGCCCTCCGGGGACCCCGCTAGGGCTGACCTCTTGACACAGCCTGCGAGTTGGTGACGGACCTGCTGGGGAAACCGCTGCTTCCCCGCCCGCCGTCCAGACTGCTCCGAGGGGGGCCAGCGAGGTGCCAGTTTCAGCCATGTGCCCGCGGTGGCCCTGCGGCGGGCACACCAGGCCTCGCTGGCAGCAGGAAGGCAGGGCTGTTCCCAAGGCGTCTCAGCGCTTCCCCCCACCAACCCATGGCAGGCTGAGGGGCAGAGCGGAGCTACGGCTGGGGGCAGCCAGGGCCCTGGAGGGGCCCCAGCTGTTCCAAGTTTCAGGCGTCTAGGCCCTGGGGGCTGCTGGCCAGGGCCTCAGTCTTGGCCCCCGATGACGGGTCAAGTCCTTACAGCTGAGACTGCCAGTGCCTGGGAGGCCCTCGGGACCATTAACTAGGACCTGCCCCTCCCCACCCCCACCCTCGGGGCCATGGGCGTCTCCCAGGAGTCCTCACCCAGGCCACTTCCTCAGCAGCCCCAGCAGACAGGGCTCGGGCCCATCCTGGGTCTCCTCTGGGATTGGGCGTGCCTCCTTCCCTGCTTACTCGCCATCGCCACCCCGCCACTCCGTAAGGTAGGCGGCGTTACCCCATTTCACAGAGAAGGAAACAAGCCAATGAGGAGAAGCCCTTGCCCAGACCCTGTAGCTGGAGCTCAGAGGTGGGCTCCTGCCCTGTGCCTCCCTGCTGGGGCTCCCTGCAGAGGCCTTGCCTGGCTGCCCCTCCTAGGCCTTGTTTAAACCTCCCCTCCCCTGCCCCCTGGCCTCTGGCTCCCTCCTAGGCGTTTCCACGGGCTGTGGAGGGGCTGGATCTGACTTCCTGGCCCCCAGGAAGGGCCAGGGCTGGTCTGGAAGGCCTAGGAACAGATATGGGACGGAGTGTGTGGTCAGGCTGGACTGCGCAGGGCAGGGCAGGGGCAGGGTCGGGTCGCGGCCAAGCCAGTGACGAGCAGTCTCAGCAGAACAGGCTTCTGGGAACGCGGAGGTCAGATTGTGGAGGCATGCCCGTGGAGGGAGGGCCTACCATTCGAGGCCGCTGCCCCCTGCCCCCATGGCTGTCCCCTCCTCCTCTCCCTGTATCTCCTGCCAGAGGAGTGGGAAGAAGACAAGCTGGGAGTGAAGGGCAGGGCTCAGGTTTGCCCAGGCTGGGTTCAAACCCCGCCTCTGAGCCTCAGCGACCCCATCTGGGGCTGCTCCAGCCCGGGCCTGCAAACACTCAGGACCCGCCAGCTCCCTCCCCTGCCTGATCAAAGCCCAGGAATCCAGCAGAGCTTTTCAACGCCTTCTGCCCTCTGCACCCCCACAGCTGTTCCCACAGCTGTTCCCAGCCGGGCTCTGCTTTAACTCACTCTCTCCCCGCGGATCTCGGCTGAGCTCGGGACGGTCCCGGATGTGGAGAAGCAAACACAGGCTGGGCTGCATGTGCGGGCAGGCGTGGCCAGCTGCCCCGGGACACGGGCGGGCAGAGCTCCCGCGTGCCAGCCCAGTCCCGTGCGCCTCAGGACCTCAGTGCCATCTGTAAAGTGCGCTCCTCTCAGATGGCAAGCTCAAAGTGGGTCCCAGGTCAGCCTCCTTTGCTCCCTCCTCTCAGGCCAGCCCAGGACACGAGACCCTGTGTTGGCAGACTTGGCCCCGGGCAGCACTGGATGCCCTGCACGTGTGTGGCCTTCCTAGTAGCAGGGCACTGGCTACCAGCGGGTGGGGCCCAGGCCCTCGCCCTGCTGCACGCCCTCGCAGGCCCACGGGGCAGCTCCGAGATGTGGACAAGGGTGGCAAACAGGGAGGACTCTCGGCGAACCAAGCTGGGGACAGGGAGGCTGGTGGCTCTGTCCCTGGAGCTTCTTGTGCCCCTCGGGCAAGGAGGGCTGCACCGACCTGCTTACTCCATGCCAGGGAGGTCGGGGCCACCTGTCTCTCAGCTCAGTGGGGTCTTGGACCAGGGCCAGGGACCTGCTGGGCACTTGCTCTTCAGCCCCGTGTTAAAGGGGGGCCTGGACACATCCTCAGGGGACCCGGATTCTATCTGTGCCATGCACTTTTAGAAAAGCAGTGAGGGGACGGCGGATGGTGCAGGGGTTAGGGCGCTGGATCCCACATGGCCCTGGGCTTGAAAAACACGCTGGGCATCTGTGCTTGCCCAGACTCCAGAGAGGAGTGGAGAGGGCCGGCAAGGCCTCCCCAGAGGGTGTTCTCACTTTCCCTCTCTGGAGAGCGCATGTTCCCTACAGCCAGAAAAACAAAAAAAGAAAAGAAAAGAAAAGAAAAGGCTTACAGAATTAGTTGTAATGTTTAAAAATTGTGATCTTCTCATAAACATGTCGAGTTTAGACTTTTCTTGAGAAGTTGGAAGATCTTGCAGCTGTCGGCCCACGCTCCTGCTGGCCAGCCCTGGTGTGCCAACTGCTGCTTCAGTGGGCCACAGGCTCCACCCCTCCCTACTGCCTCGTGCCTGCTTTCGGGGGGAGGTGACCTGCCGGCCCTGTAGAGGCATCTGTTTGTAGTCCTTGGCCTGGAAAGTCTCCCAGGTCCCCTTCAGTTCTGATTCCATGAGGCCACAAAACTAGCTGGCTTCTATTTTGGGGCGAGGGCGTGCTCGGTGAGGAGCCGAGTGGAGGCAGTTACGTGTGTACCGTGTTACACAGCATAGCTACGACGGGTGGAGTGTGCGGCGCGACTCTGCACCCATCCCCACACGCCCGCCTAAATCGCACCTTCTCCGTCAGGGACATGGCTGGAAGCGCGCTTACCCGGCAGGGGTCAGGAAAAGCGTCCCCGTTAAGGTGGAGAGAGAAGTAAAGGGCCTGACCCCCGTGGCATGGGAGGGCTGACCTCCCTAGCACGCCAGGCTGCGGCTGCCTGAGCTGCCCACATCTGGCCAGGGCCTGCTTGGTCTGGCAGAAGGCGCTGGAAAGAGCAGGAGGGCCAGGACACCCGCTGGGGGCAGCTTGGCTGGGGTGGGGATCTCGCGATGGGGCAGCAGCTGGCCGGAGGGTGACGGTCACAGTGCGTCTTGACAGAGATGCCCAGAGGGTGCTTAGGGCAGCCTGCCTGGACATCCTGGCGCGGAGGGTCCACCCAGACCTAGCAGTACCTGGGCACCAGGGGATGGAATGCCTGA